TTTTTTTTTTTAGTGCGAACACCAATTCTTATATATTTACATGTCTAATGCTCACAATTTGTAATTTGCACACTTAAATTTTTAACATCACATAAAAAGGTCACTATTAGTATATATATACTTTTTGAATAAAATACACCACATCATGCAAAATTCTATTGAAGGATAAATGTAAATATTAAGTTTAAGGTGTCGATATGCTAATACATGAAATTGTGCGGTATGTATGTAAATTTTCCAAACATAAATTATCATTTAAGAGATGAAAAACCCATCCCAAAAAAGATTGACAAGCAAAACTAAATAAACCCTATAAATATTTCCCAAAAAATAAAGAAGAAATCCTTGTAAATAAGTCGACAACCGAATGAAATTTCTGTTTTTTCTTCCCGAAGGAACCTTGGCTAATTTAATACATCAACATTTTTAAACTCATTTGCATTTAAAATAGTTGTGAGTTTATGATAGAATATTTAATTTATGGTCCGTTTGGGGCGGCGGTGCTGTGTAATTTTGTCTGTTTGAGTAAACTGTGTTTTGACAATTTTTTCAAAAAGCTTCCGCTGAAATCTGTATTTTCACACTTGTCCTGACTAGGAGCGGTGGCAGCTGCAACTGCCCCAAACAAACCCTTAGAATTACATTTAAAGTTAACATACACACACACACACACTTATATATATTGTTTTTAAAATTTTATAGATTAGAAAAAAATTGCAGACAATATATTTATCGAATTGAAAGCTATACACGTTAGGCCATAATTTTATAATTAACTAATAATTTTCATTTATAAAAAAATATTATAATGATGCGTATATAAGTGGCTGCACATTGACAGTTTTTTAAATAAACCATTGGGGCGTAGGGAAGGACATTACACCTACTTATAATGGTGGGAGAAATCATTCAAGAAGATCATACGGTCAAAAGATTATGTACATTAATGACGAAGATCCCACAAATTTATTATATAGTACTTTTATCTAATTGATTTGTAAGCTATAAATTCAAGACATTGACACTCATTTTGGTAAGAAAACTCATTAATGAAAGATGAATTCTATAAGGAAGCTGATGAAAACCAGCTATTTTTAGGCCGTTTACAGACATACCACTCAATTTCTGTGTATTTACATATCTAACACCTAAGCTTTCAAATTGATATACATGCCATTCAATTCCTACGTGTTAACATATCTAACACATAAGCTTTAAGGGCAGTTTGTGCTTATCCAGATAAGCCGCTTATCTGGAAAATTCAGACCGCGGGGGTCGACCCGCGTTCTGCGTTTAGTGTGAGAAACCAACTGCGTTTTCAGATAAACTGCTCAAACGCAGTTTCCAAACAGTGAGATGACATTTTCAAAATGCTGACGCAGCGGATAAGCTGCTGCAGACGGAACCTTAGTTTCTAATACATATGCATGCCACACATTCTTACCACCTGAGCTCTGAAATTCACTTACATATACCATGCAGTTCATATATTCACATATCTAGCATCTAAGCTTTCAAGTTTCATATATAGTATACACCATGTAATCCATATGTATTTGCGTTTACATGTCTAACACCCAAGCTTTCAAGTTTCATACATACCATGCAATTCTCATGTATTTACATGCTTAACATTCAAATATACAAATTTACATATATATCTTACATTTTCATGTATTT